AACAGGCGGAATGAGTACACCCAAAAAATAAGAAAACCAACACCCTCTACCATCCTCCAAGCTCTGTTGCCTAGCTGCTCTCTCGCAACGGCGCCGGCGCTGAGCCTCAACCGTGCGTTCTTCATCGCTGTCTCGGCTCACCTAGGCGCATCAATACCCACCGCCGTCGAGGAACAAAACTGCTGTCTGGTGCGAAATATGCAAATGTACTGATCCAAACGCCCGGCCATGTTGAGCGGAACGTGCTGTCGGTGTCGCCGCGGACGTTGTCCATGTGAGGTAAAACGTAATTTACACAACATCGATCGCTATCGGTTTTGGACTACATTCGCTGTTGGGCATCGAGACATGCTTTCCGTATACCCATTTCGGTCGTCCCAATTCTCCTCCCATGCGGAAAACCTTCTCCTCCACCGCCTTTTCATCCTCCTCTCGGCGGAGCGCCGAGGGGGGGAATGAGAGAGGGCGGGTCTTCCCAGAAAGCTGCGGGGCTTCGGAGACGCCTTTGAAAGCTTCTGAAAGGCCTGCGGCCTTCTGAGCCTGATGAGCCTTCTGGGAAGACCCGCCCCCTCGGCCGTCCCCCCTATTGGGCAACGGTGGGTGGCAACGATGAGCCACCGATCTCGGGGGCCTGGCATGGGTGGCAACGGGTGAGCGCAACGACGAACGATCTCGGGGGCCTGGGCATACCCATCGGGCATTAAAATCAAATGTGTATACACAGATGTGTCAGCAAGCACATCTCTTACATATATATATATATATAAAATATTCAAACACACACACACGTGTATATCTACGTATGCCTGAAAGTGCCAAACATACGCATATGCCTATATGTATAGATACACACAGAGCCCTTGCAAGCAAACTGTTTAGGGAAAGACTGCATCGCACGCCGCCTTGCCGAAGAACGTCGCCGAGATCTCACCAGAGCAGTCCATCAGGTCGACCTTGAACAACTGCCCCTCGCCACGGGCGTTGGAGAACCTGAGGAACCGCGGGGGGAGGGGACGGACGGGCGCTGGGAAAGAATGAATAGATGCGTGGGGAGGTGGAGGGAGGATGTGCCATCGGCCTTCGAGGGTCGAGAGTCTTTTTCGCCAGTTGTTGGCCCCTGTGGGGGGACCTGCGGGTCAGGATGCAGGCCAGCAACAACACTTCCCAGGGGGGGGGACGGGGAGGGAGGTAGGGACGACGATGGCCAGCGGGGAGGCAGAGAGGAAGAGAAGAACGGAGACGGGAAACAACAAGATGCGTGCGCTCACGCGTACCTCTCCCGCCCATCCCTGTGCGCTGGATTATTGTGGGCCCGTGGGATGTCCTCTGGTATCCAACTCTACAGGATTCTTATCGGGCGCTGCGCAAGTGGAGATGAGGAAGGCGACAAATGGCGACGTCGACAACGGCAGACACCATGATGAGACTAGCGATGCTGGTGACAGTAGTGACAATGACGACGGCAAAGCAAATGGCAGCGCCGATGCTGCTAACGGCGAAAATTATGATAGTGTCAACGCGTCTGTGATGAAACTGTTGAAAGGACTTCGGCATGCGCGCGCCGCCGACGCGCATGACTGGTCCGCGTGGCCTTCATTTGCAGCGATCACGACCCCCCAGTACGCGTGCGATTTTTTGAATTTATGCGACATACACGCGCGAGAAACCCGTCTGGTCGCAAATGATGAACGGGTTGGGGAACCGGCTTCTTGCAGGAATTCGAAAAAGCGCGCAGACATGTTCCCAGGTTGCTGTTGCACAACATGTTGTTTGTATGTTTTCGAGGCCCTCGATTTTGTAACCCAGAAAAAATCAAGGTGGTTGAAAGACTCCGGCATGCGCGCGCGACGTCAATCGCGTGTGAACTTCGTCTTGTTTCTGTTGAAAGGGATTATTGAGAATGAAATGTTTGTTATACGCAAATGTGCGCGCATGTTTTGTTTGCAGAGGGGGTCGGTGCCGGCTTGACTGGGATGGCATGCGTATGATTGATGGGCCAGTACCGTGTGTAGACTGCACGTGTCCAGAAGGCCGATAATTCCCGGGGGCTCTTTCCGTCTTCCCGTTTCCCAAGGGGGACTATGTGTGGGCGGCGAAGAGGCGGCGACGGCGGCAACATACCTAGCCGTCAGAACGCCACCCAGGCCCGAAGAAAGAAGCGGCGACGGGGCGGCGACGGCGGCACCGTAGCCGCCAGACTGCAACCCGGGCCCAAACGACGCGAGGCGACGAGGCGGCGACGGGGCGGCGACGGCGGCAACATAGTCGCCAGACCGCCACCCAGGCCCAGCAGAGCCAACACTGTGCGGGGATAGTAACACACACATATATGTATATATATAGAGATATATAGATAGCTGTATATATACATATATGTATATATGTATGTAAATATGGTCGGTCCCATACATATACATACATATATGTGTATATATATATATACACATCTTGCGCTTCATGTATATATGGATACACAGAAACCACGCGCGCACTTTGCGCGCGCTGAACCTCTAGTTGGAGCCCCAAAAATTTGCGACGCGCGGAGCACGATGGCTGCGAGGGATAACAGGATCACGGAGCAAAGGACGACGACGACGACGACGGCGGCGACGACGACGACGGCGCCGCGGCCTCGGGAAGGAGGGCGGAGCGGGGACGGGAGGGATAGAAAACTCCGGGGAAGCGGGTGCTGGAGGAGGGGGAAGAAGGAATGGGGGAGTGAGGGGTGGCGACAAAAGGAGCCGAGGAGACGTGGCCGATGCAAGACATTCTGCTTTCGTTGTCGCTCCCCCCTCGGAGCTCGAGTGGAAGTGTCCGTGGAAACCGCGGCGCGACCCGCGGGCAAGGCGCCGCCGACCATGGCATCGCGACGGGGAGCGACGAAACCCTAAACAGCCCGCGGGCCCTGCCGCGCCGCGCCGGCGCGGACAGGGTACGCGAATGCGCCACCCCAGGCGCTCCCAAATACAACCCGCCGGAAGAGCGGGGAGGGGGAGGGAGGAACGCGAAGGCGGAGGGACGGGAGGAGAAGCGAACAAAAACAGACATGATGCCACACCGGGAATGGGCTGGCATCCCCTGGGCGGCCACGCAGCTCAAGAGTTGGCAAGCGTACCGGGTTGTGTCCGAGTGTTCGGACTGAAGGACCGATGCCAGCAAAGGAGGAGAAATTGGGCGCCCGAGTTATCCGGGGTAACTCGGGTCCGGGGTAACTCGGGTTTGGATTCCCGAAAAAAGGAACCCGAGTTAGCCCTGACCCGAGTTACCCCTGATGAATTGGGGCTCTGGGCGCCCGAGTTATCCAGGGTAACTCGGGCCCGGGGTAACTCGGGTTCGGAATCCCGAAAAGCGAACCCGAGTTAGCCCTGACCCGAGTGACCCCTGATGACTCGGGGCTCTGAAGAAAGAAGGAAAAAAGGAAGCAGAAGAAGCCAGAGGAAAGAAGACTAACGCCGCTGCCGCGGGTGTTCGTGTCGGGCCGGTCACGGCAGGCAGACCCGCCGGCGTGCAGGATGATACCAACGTGTACAGACAGAGGCGAGAAACGTCATCAACATCGTCATCCTCATCGTCACCATCAGGGTCCTCCTGTGCTGCATCAAAATTACCAAGGACGTTGTCATCATCTTGTACTCTTCATCACTGTCATCACCTTCATGACCGCCATCGGCATCAGCATCCTCGCCAATGTCGTCTTCATAGCCAGCGTCATCGTCATCGCAAGTTTACATGCTCTGGAAAGGCATTTCCGGAGCACGCGGAATGGGAACTGGTGGACGTACCAATCATCATCAGCTCATCGCCATCACCACTACGAGCATAATCACCATCATCGTCATCGCATGAGCATCACATGTGCACATGATCTGGAAAAAGGACGATGTTCTCATGTGCGTGATCAGCGCCACCAAGATTGTCATCATCTATCTTCTAGCCACCGATATGTTCTCATCATTTTCATGATCGCCGTCGTCATCAGAATTCTCATCTTCACACTCGCCATCGTCCTCGCCATCGCCATCGTCGACTTCAACTTACGTGATCCAGAGAATCGGTTCCAGAGCACGTGACATGGGAACTGGCGGGCATGTCCAACATCATCATCAGTATCATCATTCTCATCATGAACATATTCATCATCGTCGTCATCGTCATCGCCATCATGGTCGAAGTCCTTGTCGTCTGCCATGGAACTGGTGTGGGCCGTCATGTGGGACTATGGGCGCGAGTGGGTTTTCATGGGTGTTTTGGGTCCCCGTGGAGGCTGCCCTGGGAGCCTCGCGGGGCCCTCTTGGGCAGTTGTGGAGTCAAGGCGTTCTTGGGAAGGTTGCGTGGAGGTTCTGGGGCGTCTTCTAGGCACCCTCTGCTCTTTGTAGGCTATCCTTGGTCTATTGGGTCGTCACTTTGGTGAACGGAGCCCGAAACGACGACGACTACGGCGCCGAAAACGACGACGACGGCGCCGGCGCCGCAGCGGCCAGAAAAAAGAAGTGGGGACAGGAAGTTTTGAGGGTTGAAGGGGAAGGTGGATTGGAGAGGATCAGGGCCATTCTGTGCATCGTCAGCATCACCGAGGACGTCACCATCATCATCATCATCATCATCATCATCATCAGCATCATCAGCATCATCAGCATCATCAGCATCATCATCATCATCATCATCATCATCAGCATCAGCATCAGCATCATCATCATCCTCATCCTCATCCACATCATCATCTTGTGGTCTTTATCAATTTCATCACCTTCAAACTCGCCGTCGTCACCATCATCCTCATCATCATCCTCGCAATCGTGATCGGAAGAGTGCGTGCTCAAGAGAGGCGATTCCGGAGCACGTGAAAGCGGGTCTGGCGGACATCCACAGCATCATCATCATCACCATCACCATCATCAACTTCAGCATCAGCATCATCGCCATGATCAGCATCGTCATCACAGTCATGAAAATCATTATCATGATCATCATTATGACGATCATCACAATCATCATCAACATCATCATCAACATCATCATCATCAACATCATCATCATAATCGTCGCCATCGTCCTGACAATCGTGATCACGTGCATGATCAGCATCGCCAACATCGCCATCATCAGATTCGAGTCATCGTCATGCTCATCGTATGCATGATCGTAGGCGCCATCCTAATTCTCATCATCATACTCGCTATCGCCACGTCAACGCCCCATCATCGTAAGTTTACGTGCTCCAGAGGGGCGTTTCCAGAACACATGGGATGGGGTCTGGCGGGCATATCCATCATCATCAGCACAACATCATCACAACATCATCGCCATCATCATCGCCACCATCATCAGAATCATCAGCATCAACATCACCATAAACATAATCATCATCATCCTCATCATCATCATCCTCCTCGTCCTCATCCTCATCCTCATCCTCATCCTCATCCTCATCATTATCATCATCATCATCATCATCATCATCATCATCATCATCATCATCATCATCATCATCATCATCATCATCATCAGTATCATCAATATCACCATCATCATCGTCATCGACGTCGCCATCATGGTCGAATACCTTCTTGTCCGTCATGGAATTGTTGTGGGCCAGTCACGGGGGCCTCTGGACGTGAGTGGGTTGTCATGGGTGTGTCTTGGGGCCCCGTGGGAGCTGTCCTGGGAGCTTCGCGGGGCCCTCTTCGGCAGTCGTGGGGTCCTCTTGGGCTATCTGCCCTCTTCGGCCGTCTTGAGGCGTTCTTGGGAAGGTGGCAGGGGGCTTCTTGGGGCGTCTTGGAGGCACAAGGGACTTTTCGGAAGCTGTCCTGGGCGTTGTGGGTGCCTCCCTGGCCCACTTTGGAAAGAAAAGCCGCCGTGAAACCCACCTGACCTGTCCAAAACGCTCCAACGAGCGAGCAGGATCATGGAGTAGGAGACGACGACGACGACGACGACGACAACGACGACCACGACGACGGCGCCGTGGCGCCAGGAAGCACAGAGGACTG